ATTCTCATACCCTCTAAATCATTGATCCCAACAGATTTTATGTGTAATGAGATTTTATCTAAAGATCACATGATCTAATATGGGTCATTGATTTTTGGAGTGATAAATGAGCCAAATATACGTTAGCAATATTGGTCTATTCTCCAAATGATTTGACAAGTTGGACTAGATCAATGAGGGTTTGGGCTTTATCTAGAAAAAGCTTTCTATGAATTGGGAAGGATAGGACAATGTCCTGTTATTGAAATGGAAAATATTTGAGAGCCACAATTTTTATGGTTTAAATGGTTTAAAATTATCAAAACGATGTCATTTTGACAATTTTAAAGTTATTTTGTACTCAAAACGACGCCGTTTTAATAATTTCGAACCATTCGAACCACAAAAATTGTGACCATATTGAAATATTGGACTGAAATGCTAAATTCTGAATAAAAAGTGGCCTTTATTCACTTTATTGAGCTATTGAGAGTTACTAATTGCGCATTCTTCCATCTTGAACTGATATCTCAAATCCTGAAGGTGTTTTAGGCTTTGCTATAAAAGTTGTTCCTATGACATTTTTTTTAAAGGGGAAACTTATCGATTGGTTTTATACATAAAATTTAAAATTTATTTAATTTTCAAATAAAATATTTATACTAATTAATTATATATATTTTTAATTGTTATAAAAAAATTCTTTTATTTTTGTTTTTAAATTTAAAGATACTGATATATCCTATTATCGTCGGACTTTTATCAAATGATAACTGAAAGCTTGTCGGAATGTTCAATATCACCCGAAAGTCACCAGAAATTCGTCTAAGTACCGTTGGAATCTTTTGAACGTTATCAGAAGTCGCCGGAATGTCTAGAAGGTTTGCTGGACAATAAGAATATCGTTGGAAACTCATCGGAATGTCCAGAATATTGCCCAAAAAAATAAATAAATTGAGAAATTAGAGTGAAAAAATATAGCAAAATGTATTAAAATTGATAAACTGAAAGAAGAAAAAAAAAAAAAACGTAACAACAAACAGCAACAATGTGAAAAAAACATATATTATTTTTAATTTCTATAGGATTTAAGCAAATAATCTTCAATATTGATCAAACTGAATAGCAAGTTTTGAAATTGTAAAATGTCACAGTTTCAAAGCACGATTCTATTAAGTATTTATTCTTATTAATTAGATTAAAAAACATATTATGAAACTGTAAAATTTTACAGTTTTAAAGAAAGTTATGAAACTGCAAAATTTTACAATTTTAAAGAATGATTAATTTCATTACCGAAAAAAGTAAAACTATAAAATTCTTATCGCTTGTAACTAAAACTCAAAAATAACTTGTTCAGAATTTAAAAACTTTCTTCATTAAAACAAAAAAAATAGAAGTGTGTAGTACATAAAAAATAAAGGGTGAATTATACTAACGGTTCCTATAGTTTGGGGTTTGTGTCATTTTGGTCCATGACTTCTCAATTGTGACACATTTGATCCTGAATTTTGAATATTGTTCCAAATAAGGACAATTGAATATACTATTGGATTTTTCAAGGGCAAAATTGTCAATTTGATAAAATATAAATTAATTTGACAAAAATAAATGTTACAAAATTGTTTTTAAAATTTTAAAAATTATTTCTACCTACTAAAGATAAAATTATATAAAATTGATAAATCTTTTAGCAATTTATTTCTTTTTTTTACCAAATTAATTTTTATTACGTATTTGGATGATGATCATGTAAAATTAATTTTTAAAAATTAATCATGTAATTTTTATTAATTTTTATCAATTTTACATAATTTTATTTTTGGTGGGTAGAAATAATTTTTAAAAATTTTAAAATATTTTTGACATTTATTTTTGTCAAATTAGTTTATATTTTATCAAATTGACGATTTTGCCGTTGAAATTAAGCAATGGTATGTTAATTGTCCTTATTTGGAACAAGATTCAAAATTCGGGGGCAAATGTGTCATAATTGAAAAGTCAGAGACTAAAGTGACACAAGCCCCAAACTAAAGGGATTGTTAGTGTAATTTGCCCAAAAATAAAAAACTGAGAGGCTTATGCTTCGACAATTATTTTTAGTTTAGATCTAGTCAGATTCGACGTAAATCTTCTTAGATCTGATGTAGATTTGAATATATGTTTATATCAAATTTGAGTAAATCTACTCATCTTCTTTGTCGAAAACTCATCTCCTTCGCCATTGGTGAGTACGAAATAATGAGTCGGTACTTGATGGTAGCAAGGAGTCATACTCGGTGGTTGCTGCGAACCCCAATCAATGACGGTCGCTAGTAACAGTAAATTAGAAAGAAAGAAAAAGAAGAAGGCGTGGTCGTGATCGTGGTCATGGTCTTTGTTAGATATCAGAGAAAGATAGATATCAGAGAAAGATAGATAAAGAGAAGAAGTAATGTGTACAAAAAGAGAAGAATATAAATAAGTACAAGACTTTTGGATTTATCTAATATCTAAAAGGTTTTGAGATTATAAAATATACGATGAATAATTTAATTTTTTTTATTTATTGCTGTTGATGAAAAGATAAACAACATCTCTACTCAAATGCAAAATAGTGGTCACATGTATTGAAAATCTAATGTCCAAAAGTGTTATCAACAACATCTCTACTCAAATGCAATAAAGATCAGATGATATAGGTGATATTAGAAGTAAATAATTAGACTTTTTTTTTTTTTAATGACGCTTAGATTTAAAAATAATTCAAATAAACAAATTTACTAAATGGTATAATGTTGTAAAGACATAGAACTAATATTTGATGATATTTAAATAAAAAAAGTTGGTGCATGCTTTAATTGTTTTTTTAAATGAAAAAAAAAACTTATTTTTTGGGGGAAAAAACACCATAAAAAAGAAAATATTAGTAAAATATAGTTTAAGGAAAAAATATTATCAAATCAATGGGAGATTTTTTAAAATTGCTAGATGTAGAATGAGGATAATTTTTTTTCGAAACTATGGAATATGTGTTGGATATTTGATAGGACTACTCATATTCCGTTTTCTATTTCGTTATTTATTTCTTCATTTCTCTTGAAAAATATCTTACTGTTAACCATCATATCAAATCCGTTCACTGTAAGAATTGAGAGAATAGGAATATCTCATGCCATGTTATTACAACCTTTAAATTTCGAGTTAATTGTCAAAGTCTTAAATATGTTAATCAAATCACTTAGAAATATCGACGAACAAACTCTAAATACACTCACAAAACTATATGAAGATGTGAAGGAATAGAGTTTCAAATCTGTTTTGTTCCTTTATAAAGGTTTATATGGCAATCACATGGATTACACAGAGAAAAAGATATAGAGAAATGAAAAAGAAAGATCAATGTCGATGGTGTGAAAACGATTTATTCTTCATCATTTGAATACCACCAAGCAATGATCACCAATTGAGGAAACATATGTTTCTCTCCTCACAATATCTTCCCAAAAATTAGGATTGCAAGGAAGATTTGGCGGTATTGATTGAATTTGCCAATAGATGGTTGAAGGGTTGCAATGGTAGTGGCTTAGAGAAAAGAGTAATAGCAGCTGGTGGCAGTGGTTTTTAGTAGGTTTGTAAGTGGTGCGCTACTGATGAAACAATGGTACTTGTGTATAACAACATGGTGGTGTGATTGTGGTAATGCTGTTGGTATCGAATGATGAGGCCATGGTAGTGGAGTAGAAGTTGAGTAGTGCACCATTGCGGAGGTGTGTTGCTACAAAAAGACAAAAAGTCATAAGAATGAGAGAAAAAAGCATATATAATTTGATTAGATAAAATATGGGGCAATTTGGTAAAATTACGATGACATCAATGGATAAAATAGTTAATGGGTGTTTGACTTTCCTCATTTGGTGAGTTTTTTTAGTTTATTTTCATTTTTAATGATTTTTTTTTAAATTTTAAAAATCTTTAAAATTTTAAATTCAACTCAATGACACGATTCAAAATAGTGGATCTTTTTTAAAACTTATTTTGACTTATTTATTTTTTGTTTGAATTTTTTTTCTTTTTAAATTTATCTTTGCAAGACAAATTAAATTTTTTTTAAAAAAAAATTGGCATAATTTTTTTAAAAAAGTTACTAAAGACTAAAAAAAAAAAAATCAAAAAATGAGATGATTTTTTTAACCAATAAATAAACTTCCTAAACACCACCACATGCTAAATTTATAAGACTGACTGTAAATTTTTAAAACATCATAGGAAGTTAGTTTAATTTATCTTATAATTTTTAAAAAAATGATTGATCCACAAAATATAGGATGCTCGACTTTGCCTGAACTACTTGACACCCTCCAAATTCAAGAAAGACCCACACATTTCACTCTTTTTAATAGCAGCTGTCCCCCTTGACTCGTCGGGCGACCTCCTAAATGATTAGCGTCACTTGTCAACCGTAATTGTCACCCTTATCAACCGTAACTACTACCTTTGATTGGTCAGATAATTGGTGTGTCAAGTGACATGCACAATTGAGCTAACGTATGAAGCCCACACAACTTTGGGGCAACTAAAGAAACACATAAGTAACACCTTCCATCTCATTTGGGCAATTCTGACGAGTCCAAATTCAATAGATGTAGCATTACTATAATTTTTAACAATGGTTGTTAAAATGTAAATTATTTTGTTAGAGTATCTCCATCGGTGAATAAAAAATTTCATCAAATTTAAGTAAAAAATTGAAGAAAAGTTGGATTTAATACCGTTTACTCTAGTACTAAAATTTAAATTATCATAAGATTTTAATGAAATATCTATTCCTCCCTCTATTTAATATCACTTTAATGAAAATATTAAAACCCACTTTTTAAGATTTTTTTATTAAATTCAAATCTAATGATAGATTTGAGTAAAGGTCGAAGATCGTTGGATCTTTCCATTTTTGGGCTATAACTTTTCTTACATTTTAGATAATCACGTTTGAAAAAAAAAAAAAAAAAAAAAAGGACGATAAAATGGAAGAGCAACACATCTCACTCGTCCTTTCGGGGATTTTTCACCTGCGGAAGCACTCTCCATCTCACACATCAGCTCGCTCTCTCTCTCCCCTCGCCAATCAAACCTACCGCCCCCATTTCTCTCGCCTCTCCCCTCTCTCTGCGCGTTTCATTGTTAGGGTTTCTGATCTTTCTTCTGAAAATCAAAGAATCAGAGGTCTTATCTCTTCAAAACCCTAATCAATTTTGGCACTTTGATTACCAACAATTTGGAAAACTTTCTATTACACCTCTCAAATTGTCTACCAAATTTAGCCATGGACGCTGATTCTTGGAGTGCTCGTCTCTCTTCTGCATCAAAGAGCTATAAATCGGCCCTTCAATCTCGATCTGGTCAGCTCCAAATTTTTCAATCTCTAATCCCTTTGTTATTTGTCTGCTATGTTTATTGAATTTATTGAAATGGGATTGCTTTGCTTTGTGTGTAGATATGTTCATGGGGTTTGAAGAAATCGATGGAGATGATGATATAAGGGAGGAGTTTCCTTGCCCTTTTTGTTCAGAGTATTACGATATTGTTGGATTGTGTTGTCATATCGATGATGAGCATCCTGTAGAGGCGAGGAATGGGGTATCACTCTCGTTTTTCTTGCTATTGATGATTCAAATATGCAAAATTTTTAATTTTTACTTCATAGATATGTTTTCTCATGCGTAGTGTCTTTTGGGCATTTCTGGGTATATGTTTGAGTTTTGAAGATTTCTTTGCGTTTCTTTAGTGTTTGTTTGGCTTCAGAGCACCTAATTGAACTCGAATTTGCTTTGTTGATGATGAGGGACTCACAGGAAGACTTAAAATGCTGTTTTGTTATTGTATGACATGGATTGCTGCGATTATATTCCCCTGAAAATAAAAAAATAAATAAAAATTTGTGGGGTTCATAAAGCTCATGTTCAGTAGTGGTGTTTATTATGATTATACTGGACGATTGGTTAAATTGATTTGGGGTGGAACCACACCCCGCTTGAGGCAGGACTATGGCTGGCATATAGATTTAATTAAAAGCTGCTATATAAAAGATTTTTGTTTTCTGAATAGAAATGAAAAGTTTTAGCTATCTTGCAGGTGTTTTCCTTTCCTTTCCTTTCCTTTCCCTTCTCCTTTTTCTTATTCTTTTGATTTTTGAAGCCTGTCTTACAAACAATAGGAGGAATTCTTCCTGTGCAGGTGTGTCCAGTTTGTGCCATGAGGGTGGGGGTCGACATGGTTGCACATATAACCTTGACAACCCTGAAGATGAGAAATTCAACATCGGTGGAGCTAAGTTACCATTGCGCAACAACGACATCAGGTTGATCTTCGGCGTACAATGTGAGAGGGAGAAATTGGATATGACACATGGTGGGAAAGGGCCGTCTGATTTTATCCAAAGACGTTGCGCAAAAGTTAGCCGAATTTCTTCAAAATTAATAAAGGACTTGCTGGGAGAAACAATATGTGGTCGTACAGAGCGTGACGAAGAAGATGTGGCGAAATTGCTGTGTCTTTATGTGTGCGCCAAGTTATTTTTCGCAACGACCGGCGAGCATATAGGTTGGGCATTTGTCCGTGTGATCGACAAACTAGACACATTACAACAGTATGACTGGAGTGCAACAATAAGGAACACATTGATTGCGTCACTGAATGAGATGCACAATAAGCCAGAGAAGGTCACTGGTTGCGTAGTAGCATTGCTGGTACGTATGTTTGTTGGTTGTTTGGTGGTTCAAATTCAGCTTTAAAACATATAATCCATTTCAGTGTTTATGTAATGGATGTTTCATGGTGTAATTTCAGTTTCTTATTTGTGAGCATTCCAACATCATCGCTCCGGAACGGCCTGACGTGACACCACGATTTTGTCGATGGAACATTGCATCCGCTGTGGGTAAACTAAGAGCAATAAATTTGTCGTCAGAAGGTTGCTTTGAGGTATGGAATTAGAACCCTTTTAATTGTTTTTAAAAATTTTCCAACACCAAAAATTGAAATTGTGCTACGTTTTGATGGTAATTTTGCTTAGGTCCACTGTGCCAAACTTGTTGGGACGATTAATGAATGTCATATTCTGAAGGTGTCTGCTGCTGCTATTGAAACAAAAGAATGTGGTAGAATTAGGATGGATGTGGAACCACCTGGAGTGTGCGATGAACGCAGGGCTGTGATTGAGACAGATGATGTTGGCAGCGTGGAGCCAAGCTTCAATTGTTGGCAGCCGGCCAAAAAAACCAAGGGTGACATGCAAATGGAGGGGGGCAATGACTATGATAATAAAAATACTGGAACACCAACCAGCAAGGAAAAAGTAGCTGGGAAGCTGGTGTCACGTGGAGATGTTTTGCCGGTATTGTTCCCAGATCTTCTGGAACTGGCCAGCACTCCAGATGGTGAAGACGTGGGTGAGGAACAAAGAGGGGTGCACAATGAGCTGATAACTTGTAAAGTCAGAATTACTGAATTAGAGAGCCAGATCAATATGAAAGACGTACAGATATGTGAACTGGAACAGCGTGTGGAAACACTGGAAAAACTGCTCGGGCGGCATGCTGGTAATTTGTTTGCAAACTTAAATACTGTGATTGTGGATAAGGAATCTGAAATTGCCCGGCTCAAAAAGCAGGTTGATCGATTGGAGAAAAAAATAAGCAATTTGGAAGATAGTCTTGATGACCTCGAGGTGCACGAGGTGACACAATTTGCTGTGAATGATGGATCAAATCAGCGGACACCAAGTAATAGTGTGTCAGGGAAAGTGAGTGGGTCTGCCAATGTGACGAGTTGCGAAAGTGCGCAGCAGTTTGCATGTCCTACAGGGCAACCCGAAGACGTGCAGATCAACGAATTACAACTTGTTGACAATGACCCTGGGATTGAAGATTTGACCGATGACTTTGCAGATGGGATTGTGCATACAACTGTAGCAATGGGTGAGGGTAGCTGCAGCCCCATAAATGCACAGACAGTAACTGCTGGCAATGTAAAAGATGGCGCAGCTGTCGTTGTTGTAGAAGGTCATTGCGAACACACAGCAGGTGCAACAAGTTCTGGGCCGAAAATTACGTCACTTATGAAAAGGGTGAAGAACAAGGCAAGACGGGAATTTAGGTTATCAGACTACGAATATCCCGGCATATTTGGGCGTACACAGGTAAACACCAATGTCAGACTTGGTAAATCAGTTGAACTAGGGGTGATTTACAGTGTTGAGGACGTCGAGGTGGAGCGTAAAACCTGGAATGGCTTCAGTCTGAATAGGCGGCACACTGTGTGGAACATGCTGAAGGATGAAGACCGGGAACTACTACAAAGAATGTACACTTTAGAGGGGGACGGGTAGGTTGTTCGGATGGACTGTTGTATTGTTTGACATGTACAACTTGCGAAACTATCCTCCACGGTGGTTCTTAATTTCGATTTATGGTTTGCAGGTTAATAGTATGGGATGGTGGACACAATGGAATACAAGTTCATTTCACGGACATCAAAGATTTGGTGCAGCAGAACTCCATACACGGCAATGTAAGCTGGTTTCGTGTAACGAATCGTAGAGTATTTATTGATTCTTTAATTATTTTAAAAAAACATATGCAAATCTGACCATTGCTTCCTTTGTGAATTGAGTGATGTGGCAGTCGGAAAGGGCAAATGAATTTTAAAACACAGTGAACAAAATGTAAATGGAAATGTAAATTTACAAAGTTCTTATTAC